ATCATAATTGTCATTGCATTGAAGTATGAAGTACTTAGCCTCCATGCCTAAGTTACCCAAATACTTTCATCATGGAGTCAACAGTTGAGATAGCCTAGGATGGGTTAATCCTTGCACCTTGAGAGATAGTATCAAACAACATTTAACTAAGCTCATTCAACATGCATTCGAAAACTTCGATTCTTTTTTTCGCGTCTTTCTTTTTTGGGAGAAAGTCGGTACCCTCCACAAAAATGACGAAATTTTTTTGCTTTTTTGCATTTTTGAGTCACATTGAATCAACACTATACACACACGGGTCACGAGTCACACGTGTCAAACACTTCGAGTCGAGTCAACCTCAAGTCAATCACATCGAGTCAAGTTTATGCCTCGAGTCGTGTCGAGTCAATGAGTCAAGCAACATTTAAAGCCTTAGGTCAACCCTAAGATGGTTAAAAAAATTAGCAAAGTTCTATAGTCAAAAATAAATACAGGTGCAGCAGAATAGGGAAGACCCTATCACAGCATCTGGCGACAGAGTCAATTCCTGGCGCCAGAGATATTTCAGCAACGACAGAGATCGAAGCCTCTCAGAAAGGTGATTTCGACCTCATACGACAATTTAGGGTTCCTTGGTACGCCAGTTAGCCCCTATAAGCAATTTGACATGAATAAGTAGGCAGTTTGATTACAATCACAATAAGTGATCGACCTGACGAAAGATCGTCTCACTTAGCTTAAAGAGCCTAATCACGGAAACACCGACGTACTGGTTTTAGCGGAAGCAAAGTTCAGGCGAGCTTTAGAGACCGACAAACGTTGGTCTTCGGAAATTTTTCTTCGGAATATTATCGCAACAAACATTCAAGTAACGAAGCTCTATTGTTCAGAGACGCGTGAACATTTCCATCAAGCTCTTTTAATTCAGAGACGCGTGGGCATATCATTCAAAAGCTCTTTTGGTCCAGAGAAGCGTGTGCATATCATTAAATCACTTTTGTTCAGAGACGCGTGGACATTTCCTACAAGCTCTTTTGCTCAGAGACGCGTGGGCATCCTATTATCAAGCTCTTCGTTCAGAGACGCGTGGACACATCATTCAGAAGATCATATTAAAAAGAAGCTCTTTGTTTAGAGGAGAGTGAACATATCCAAAAAAAGAAAAGAAGCTCTTTGTTCAGAGCGCGTGAACATATAAAAAAGAAGCTCTTTGTTCAGAGACGAGTGAACATCGAAACAGCAAGGTGGCGTTCCCTAGATTGTGGAGAGTTGTCACAAACAATTGAGGATTGTTTCAAGAGAAGCAAGCTTCGATGTTATTCCCTTGGACGTGGAATATTATCATAGCGGAGGAGGATCGTTTCAGGCGAAGCAATCTTCTATATTGGAAGCAGTTACAGGCGTAGCGGTTTTCAAGCAGGATGGCATTCTCTAGCTTGCAAGAGGTCATCTTTCAGAGACGTGTGCTCGACGGTGCAAGATACGTGTTTCTTAACTCTTTTATCTGTTTAACTAACGCTAGTTTGCAGGTATTGGCGTTACAAGAGTGGTTTAGGATCGCAGAACGTTCTGAATCATTCTCCGTCCCTATCGCTACTTTGACTTTTGTTTTCGAAACTTGCGTTTCTCCAAACTCAGTCAAAGTGGGGGCTTCTGTAGACACCCATTTGTGTCTCCCCAAAACCAAACCCAGTGATGAGCACCTTTCACGTCGAATCATAATCGAATGAAGCGAAAGTGTGGAAAATCTAGTGTTGCGGATAGTTTTAATTTCTTTTCTCTTCTCTCTGTTTTTGAAAACTTATTTTAAGAAAACAACCAATCCAGTTTGGTTGGTCCATGATATGGGTCCGATAGTAGTGTATTTGGATGGGGTTTGACAAGAACTTTCCAACGATATATTATAAGCCCAATTCCGACGAATATTGAGGAAGTTATGGCCAATTTACTAAACTGGGCCCGGTTTGAGCCTTATATGCGGCCCAATGATCTAGAAGGTTCTTTTCATTCCTAATTCAATTATCATTGATAAATTGACTTTTTTTGACTTTTCAGAGTTTTAATTAAAATCAAAAAGCATTTTCGAGGAAAAGATACGATTTTATCCTCTAGTACGGCAAACTTATCTGATTTTCGAAAACGCGTCAAAAACAGGACTAGCGCCTGACGCTAGGCATTGGCTCCTGGAGCTAGGCCTGGCGCCTGGCGCTAGTGTTGGCGCCTGGCGCCAATTAGCCAGTGCTGGCGCCAGCTCTGTTTTAGGTGCGCCAGATGCACTGTTTTTTAAATTTATCTTTTTGGCTGATTTCTCTATAAATAACGTATTAAAAACTCCGTTTTCATTCACCTACAACTAGTTTTCATTCACAATCATCAATTCTCTTTAATCATTCGTCATTCATCTTTCTCTTCCTCTTCTCTACAACTTGCTTTTACATACAAAATTCCGCATTCATTAGATCTAGAAACACCTAGCCATATTCGAAGTTGCCTTCGCCCTAGACGTGAAAGGTTTTAATTTCTGAGGGTTTGGTCCCAAATCTCTCTTTCAATTATTTAATTTGATTGTTTAATTATTATTTTCCTTGAAGTTACTAACGTGTGTATTTTGTTATTAGAAAGAGGTACGAGGCATCAAAGTAAGTACTTTAATGGTTTTATTGATTTTATGATGTAGAAATCATGTTTATACTGTTATTATGATATTCCTAGTATCATGTCTAGGGTGATTTTAATACTAAATATGATTGTTATGATGCTTCCTATGTTCTTCCTAATATTTATGATTGCTAGTATCATGTTAGGGTTAAAGATTTGATCTTGTATTGCTTAGTGACATGCTAGGATTTGTTATTAATCTTGTTAGTATCGTGCCTAGGATCTTGCTTTTATTATGCTTTAATATTAACATGAACATTACTATGATTATAATTGTTATAATTTATGATGATTATGAATATTATTATTATTATTTCGATGATGATTATTTTATTTATTATGATTATGATGTTTATAATTATTGTCATGATTATAATTATTATTTATGATTATTATTATGTTGCTTGATGCTTATTTATTTTTATTGCTTGATCACGCCTTTTATGCATGTTTAAAGGGAATCTATATTTGTAATCACGCTTAATAAGATGAATTAATAATCTTGTTAGGGTTAATTATGATTATAATTCAAGTGATCGCCAATAATAGATTTATTTGTGCATTAATATTCAACCAACATTGATTAAACAGGTTTAGGGTTAATCCTATTGATTGCATGTTAGTCAGAAAGCGCACATGAATACGATCAGAATAAAGTAGAGGCCTATTATTAGGGCAGGTTCAATCTCTTTTAGGTTGGATTTGTACCTTCATCCCCGAACCCTTATTTGGTTCTAGACCTTATGGAGTTGACGATCTCTTGGATCGTTAAGAGGTGTAACCTTCACCTCGTGAACGGTTTACAAGTTCCTAAAACTTGTTGGCGACTCTTTTGCTCTATCTTCTTCCCTTTTGGACGCCACCGTACTTTAGTGTATGATCACAGTGGGGTTCAAGCTAGGGGATTAACGCTTGAAATTTTTCCCTACAGGTAATCCATCTCAAATCTCTTAAGCATGGTGGAGGAAGTTTTGGGCTTTACCAATTCTTCCTCATTGGAAAATATTTGGTTGGAAATTGTTGCACGACGCTCTTCCTTTAGCGACTATTCTCAACTCTCGAGGCCTCTCTGTTGATCCAGTTTGTGCTTTTTGTCATGTGGATGTGGAATTTGTGTCCCATACATTCAGAGATTGTCCTGCTATCTGAAGTCTTTGGCTGTCTGGAGCATTGGGCATCCAATGGGATCTTATGCAGTTTCCTTTTTTTAGTATTTGGTTCTCGAGTATAATTTCTCTTTTTTCGTCATCGAGAAATTGGAAGCGCATTACTTCGTTATTTGCTCTCCTTTGGGTGATTTGGATTTCTCGTAATTAATTGAGGTTTAGGAAAGCTGTTTGGTCACCTAGGTCAATTGTCGATCTGGCGTCAGATTGGGTTCTTCGTAGTATGCAGGCTCTAGATTGGAAGAAGTTTGCGAGGTCTTCTCGATCGGGTAGTTTAGAGGCTAGGCAGGATGTCAAGTGGCTGTGTCTGCGGGGGTTACCTTATATTTCTCTAATCGGCTTGTTTAATTGTAGACGGGGCCTGGGATTGTTCTACGTACAGGGCGAAAGCAGGCTGGATAATCCGTGATCTTCATTCTTCTGAGGTTTTGGGAGGTGGTTGTCGTGCTTTTATGGCAGGTTCAGCGTTGCAGTCTGAGCTTCAGGCTTGTATTTGGGGTTTGGAGTTTGCTATTCGCAAAGGCTTTTTGAAAATCCGGGTTTATACAGATTGTGTTGCCCTCCTTACTCTTCTTCCTCCTTCTAGTTCAATGGAAAATTCTGCTTGGTGGATTCAAGAGTTGCGGGCTTCAGTTCAGTCTCTTTTGGTTTGCCAGGTTCAAAAGGTTCCTCGTGTGTGGGTCAATCCTGCTCACTGGTTGGCAGGTTGTGCCCGGCGACATCAGTTGTTGTATTTTCAGTTTTATTTTTTTGGGTTGACAGTTGTTTTTTTCCTTTTATTTAATAGCTCTTTTGTAAAAAAAAAAAAAAAAAAACCTAGTATATTTTAATTTTATTTACTACCTCCATTAATTGTTATGTGAAACTTTGGGGTATTATTTGTGAGGTATAAAATATTCCAAAGTTGCACATAACATTTAACGGAGGTAGTATTTATTATTATTTTTTAAAATTTTGTATGACTTTTACTGCAGTAATAGCTAGTCAAAGTTTGCTAAGAACATTAAAAAAAGCCTCATTAGCTCCTTTGTTACAGAAGGGAAAAAAAACAAATTAAACATTCCATCTTCCACGATGATCCTGTTAAATTGTAAATTCAAGCATTTGTCTTCGAGCGTGCTTCATATAACGCCACTTTTTATGTCTATTCTATCTTATCAGTAATAATTTGCAAATTGTTAGTGTTTATATTCATAATGAGAAGGATGAGTTGTGGGATATAATTGAGTCTTTGGGAGATAACATTACACCACACACACGACAATTCACTACATTAATTAACAAAACCCCAAGAAGGACCATGCAAGCATGCTTCTCACAAGCAAACTTGTTGGACTCTAGATCAAGAGATGAAGCTTGATGTCGCTTTGTGCCCACACGATCCCTCTTGTAATAACTTGAAAAAACCCTGTCACAACATACTTACCTGATTCCCAAAGGTGAGAATTAGTAATAGTCCATTTACAATACACGCGAGACGAAAGCTTAAGCCTTGAGTTTTGAATATTGCCTATAAACCCTTGAGAAGCAGCTCTTGTTGGAAGACTTACTTGAACTAACAAGACCTTGACCAACTCTTTTGAAACCCGATTTGCAGCTGCATCAACTGTGGATGACCGAGAAGAAGCACACAAGACCTTTTGAGAGGAAATCGCATGGTGCTTCGAGCCACAAAGAAAGGAGGAATCGAAGGAATAGAGGTCTCTACTTCCCTGGATTTTTCACCTAGGAGGGCCATTGTCAAGATTTAAATTTTACTCAAGATAACCAGAAACGTCACAAATGACATAGACCTTAAATGGAAAAAACTTAGCACATCACCGTGCATAAGACGCTGCAAATTAGAGGATCTAATCTGAAGAGATGAACCAAAACATTCGCGGGATTGGAACTGGCATTGCTGCAAATCATTATCCCGCTGTTTTGACCCCGGAAGAGACTCACTTTCCAAACCTTTAGAAAATATTTCATCTAACACTATCAAAGAAACCATAGCAACATGACAATGCACATAAACCTTGCTTGTCTAAAGAAGCAGCTTCAACAAATGGTGTAGTTTTTGAGCTACCTAAAGTGTGGTCTACAGAAGAGGCACAACCTAAAAGCCTTTCAAACTCATGTAATTCATTTAACACTTCCATTTTTTTGTGTCAAAATAAACTGCCTTGCAAAGGTCTAATTTGGCAAAACTGAGATCACCTAACCCCTTAAATGCTAAAGCTCTCCTAAACAAGCATTTGGTATGATAGGTATCATACCTCAACACAAATGGACATAACCTATACTTTATCAAAGTCCTGTAATTTCAGGGCACACGCAGTCAGGTTGAGATTCAAAGCAAAGGCTAAAGAACGAAACATAGCATAAGCCTCCAGAGTTAATGGTAAATTAAAACAAAGTAATTTGCTCTGTAAATCATACTTGAAAAAAGCAAGTTTAAACTTGCGTTCCCCAAACAAGGAATTACCTTCATCCTTAAAGATTTTAGAACAGACCAAAACATCATCATGACAAGCTAAGGAATCTAAGATATGAACAACATGGTTGTCATTAAACCCATCAGGAAGATGGAACTCAGCAAAAGCAGGACACATGTCCATTTCAAAATACCACCCCCTCAATAAAACCCGGAAATATGACGGCATAGATACCAAGCTAGCTAAACAGAACAAGTAACTATGCGCCCCCTCTAGAACAACCACTAGCGGGAAGCACACAACATAAACGGAAACTAAAACCCCAATAAAGGAAGTATAAAGTAAAAAGGCTTAAAGTGATAAAGGAAAAAAAGAACCATTATGGAGAACGGTTGCTTGTACACAACCTTGATAATTGCAAGGATAGGCTTCGGCACCTTCTCTCAGCTTGAGTGAACAATTCGAGTGGTTGTTCCCCTTACTGAACACAAAAATCAAATTTACCCAACAACAACAAACATACCCAAAAGCAATAAACCTATACAACGCTAGCTGTAGTGAATGCCACCACCCACAACACTAGATAGGTTGACCAAACCTATAATGCCACTTACTGTGAATTAATAACTTAAAATAATAACAATTAGATGGAGGGGAAAGGAGGGTTCGCCATCGACGACAAAAAAAAACAGGCAAGACAATCAGCCGCCAGCGAGGTATGGAAAGGTAGGTTGACGCTGGAAAGATAAGAGTTTGGCGGTGGAAGGATAAGCACAACACTTTTATAGGAGGAGAACCCAGTCAATCAGGCTGATTGGCTAAATTTTGTCAATCAGCCTTGTTTGTGGGGCCCACGCTGTACAAAATATTAGTTTTATATTGAGTGTATTGTTCATCCTTAACTGACGGAATTTTGGCGTTAAGTGGGCCCATTTATTTTACAACTAACGTCGTTACTATCAGAGCTCTTCATTTTTGTACCGACATCACTCTCTCTCTTCTCTTAGTTTTATATTCTTCAAGTAGAACCAGATTAAGAAAAAAAAAAAAACCAAAGCAAATTCGCAAATTTCGCTAAATCTCAAATTCGAGTTTCCTTCATTTAGGTCCATTGTGATCCCAGTTGTACCAGCAGAGATTAGATCTGAGTTTGGCTCACTTCTCAGCAGAGATTCAAGTTGTTAACGGCAGGTTAGCTCACTTATCTTTCAATTTTAATTTTTGATATCGTCGGAGAAGATGAATATAGGTCATACTGCAATTGGGAAAGTGAAATTGGGAAAGTGAAAAACATTAACGGCAATCTCCCGTGTCGTTATTTCCTCCGTTAGTCAGCAAGTCGCGTCGTTTGTTTGGGTAAGTTAACGCTGGGAGAGAAGTTACAGAAACAGCCCTACCCAATGGCAATATTTACAAAAAATGCCACCTGATGTGCCAAACAAGCCAATCAGGCTGATGGACTTGTATTTCCTCCTTTTATAGGGAGAGGCTATGACTTACGCCGTATTCTTGTTTTTTTTTTATTTTTTTTATCTTTTATTATTGGGGTTGATCATTGTCTGTTTGCTTGAACTCTAACATTTATCTGGTTGTCCTAGTTAGAATATTGTCTTTGCTAATGATTCGTTTCCTTTGAATATTATGTAAATTTTGTTTGAGTTTCAGTATGAAGGAAGCACTTCATCTTTTTTCACCTCTGATTCCTAGCCCATATCCCAAAACCATAACTTATTTTCCTCTTTTCGTGCCTTTAAACCCTTAAAATTATTCATTTCGTGTCCTTTCTATAAAAACGTTTAAACCAGTTTATTTTGGTGCATAATCTGGATCCACTGATTGAATAGTTGGATGGGGCTTGAAAATAGCTTTCCAACGATATATTATAAGCCAAATCCGAGTTATAACGAATAAGTTAGGGTCAAAATACTAAACTGAGCCCAAACCAAACCTAAGCACACCTTACTTACGACCCAATGATCACATAAGCTTTAATCCCATTTCTAAACCAATTAGGATTAATTAGAATCTTTTATAAGTTTCAAAAAGATCTTAATTATCCTTTTTGAAAAGATAAGATTAAAGAGTTTGAAATTGAATAAAACTCCTCTTTTTGAAAGTCCTAATTCTATTCGAATTGAAAGACATTCAAAGATAGTCATATATGATTTTCATGACTCATTAATTTTATCTAAATTTTATATGTTTGGATAGCTCTTGAAATTATCTTTTTAATGATATATTATTATATTAATTCCGAGTTATAACGAAAAAGATATAAAACAAATACGAAACTCTATCCAAAATTGACACTGTACCACTATTTCAGCCATATCTATTATTATAAAAATGATTTTAATTGTTTTATAAATTAAAATTCAAGATCTTTCCAATGACATATTATTTACATTATTCCAATTTCTGGATAAAAAGATATGATAAAAACAAAAACCGCAAAAATTGCTGCCTATCACAAGAGTTTTATTCCGATTCGAATTCGGATCTTTTCTCGATTCTTCGACCTTTCTTTTTTCTTTATAAATCGAGGTCATATTACCCCTTTTTAATCATCAATAATTTTGATCACCAAAAATCATTTTCTTTCTCCCTACACAAAAAAATCATTCTCTCTCTTGCTTAAACCTAATTTCTAGCCTTCCTTTTTCTTCCACCCTACATCCCTTTAGCACTCCAAGGAGTCCATACTTGACTCAAGGTTCCGTCCTTAAATAAAGGCGTGAAAGGTATAATTAACTGAGAGTTTTGCCTGGACCAAATCAACTCTACTTTTAATTTAATTTAATTTCAATTTGATTTATATTTTTATTGAAATTACTAACAACTTATTCATTATGTAGCAATTTAAAGGAGCGCGCGAAATGTGAGTAATTAATTAATTTAATTACTTATTTTATTTTAATATTGCTAGTATCATAATAAAGTTTATTATTATTTGATTTGACTAACGATATTATGGTTAAATTGCTTTCAATATTAATATTTATTCTATTTTTATTATACGATCATCATATTGCATGTTAAAGGGAATATGTAATTTAAAATCACACCTAATAAAATAATTTGAACGAATGGTTTAGGTTCATTTTTAATCTTTTAATTAAATCAAGTGATCGCGGGTATTTTATAATTATATGTTGCATTAATATTCAACCAATTTAGCATAATAATAGTTTGGAGTGAATTAAATCTTTGTTTGTATGCCATTGAGATAGCAGGATTCACTTTTCACTATAAAAATCAAGTAGAGGCCAATACGGTCGAATGTGACTCCATGACTCACTTCATACCATCATCCCGATCCGATCCTCTTTTCGTGGTTCCGAACCATATGGAGTTAGTAATCTCATGGATAATGAATGAGGTGTAACCTTCACGGGTCAATCGTTGTTGCCTATCCTTGTCCCTTTATTCGTGGTTGCCTTTTATGATCCGTGAACGGTTCACAAGTTCCTTTATTGTTGGCAGCTCCCTACTTTCCTTGTCCCTAATCGTATTATGTCAATTCCTTCTTCCTAAGAGTGCCAAACATATTCACACATGCTTAACGTAGACGCACTTCAAATGACTCTTACACCTACATGTTAATTTCATCACAAAAACTTTAAAAAATATATTCATAGTTGTTCCGTGGCAATGTTTGGGCCACATACTATTCGTGTTATCAATCTTAGGTTTAATCTTGATTCAATAAGAGGTAGCTTGGTTTTACTTATTCATATGAGAATATCCCTTGCATGTATTCTAATACAAAAACACCATGCATTAAGGAAAAAATCATTAACATTTATAGACTTATTTATCATTAACATTTACTTAATGTAAATACAGAACGATAAAAAAAGCTAAAGCCATCAATAAATAAGGAAAATATAAAAACCAACTTTTTAAAATCACAATTGGAAACATCTTTGTAAAAAGTATTGCAGTCTACAATTATATCCCCAAAAGCATTCAAAAAGTAATAAAACACAAGTAAATCATCGCTTCCCAACTTTCTGCAAGACAAGTGTGGCTTTGGAAAATTTCTCTCTATATGATAGTTCAATATGTCACTCTCTGTATATTTCACTGTGTTACTTAGAGGGAAGTCTATAATTGATAATGTATCTCTGTATATGAATAGATATTAGAGTAGTTCTAAAAAGTTTATGTGTTGTGTGTAGGGGAGAGGAGTTCAAAAACTAAAACGAAGTACTTACTTTCCAAAATCAAATGAGGATTCAAAACATGATAAATATTGAGCATCTGTTGAAACTAATTAAACTTATCAAACCAAGTGCAGGTATCATGGTTTCACCATTCGTAGTTCAAGAAACCAAACAATAATCCCTTGATTTGATAGTTCGTTAAACTTGGCCAGTTGTTCTCGAGTTTGGTTTGAATGGCCGCTACATCGTTTGGTATCAATTGAGAGATCAAGTCAAAGCAACATATCTCTAGGTTTGTAAGGATTGGAACGTTGTGATTTGTATGAGTTTGGGGTTTTTACACTTTACTACCTCGCAATTCTTGACTTTTTTTATGAAAGAAAATCCATAAAATTAATAGTGGTTTTTGCTTTAGTGATAGTTATAGATATTATAATGTATAATATATTATGATTATAATATAAATTATAATAATATTCTATTCATTTTTCTTTTTGTATGTCTCATTTGTCATTTTTACACAGCTTTCAATGTAGCTACACATCATAAAAAATTCTACAATATGGATATTTGAAACAAAATATTGGAAAAATCTAACAAATTCTACAAAGTGAATGAATGTGAAGTGTGGGTTTCGTTTTATATGTATAAAAATTCTTATGTTTAAAGTTTCTCTATATTCAAACTAAAATTCTAAATTAGTTCATAGTTAGTTGTGAATAGCGGCCCTTGGTTTGCAAAAAGCCCTTCACTACTACAAAAAAGGCCTTAGAGAACTGTTATAATAAGCTTTATAGATCGCCTTAGGGGCGTTCTTCTGCTAAGTGATGTATAAAGTATAGAGAACGGGTCGTGTAGGCGTTTTATATAATAACAAATAGAGAACGGTTGTTAGTCACAACCGTTCTCTTTTCCCTTCTTAAATTCATACACTAAGGAAGGAATAAAGAACGGTTTAGGCCACTTAACCGTTCTATATTGCATTACAATAAAGAACGGTTAAGTTAGATAACAGTTCTTTAATGTTTTTTTTTATTAAAAAAAATCCATATGTATTTAATTGTTCGAATTACCCCTTTACATATTTATACCGTATTATTCGTGTATTCTAATAATCTGAATTATTTTTGTATTTCATTTTAGATCTGTATTTGTTTTATATCTTGTAAATTTATATATCCTAATTAACAATAATATTTCCAAATACGACAAAAGCCATCAAAATATACTTCATATTTATATAATTTAAAACATCCAACCACAATTAAATTAAATCAATCATACAAAATTTGTTCTAAACAAACAAATACGTGAGTTAAATATCAAAAACCTTTCTAGTTAATGTTGATTTAAAAAAAAATTGATGCCCCAAAATATACCAATACCATATTGATCTACAATTCACATAAATCATCGTCGTCGTCATTTGGTTGATGGTATCCGGTAACATATGAAATCTACCTTTCCCTAACCTCGTAAATCATTTGTTGAGAATATGTATGAGGAACTTGCTTAAAATACTACAAAACAATGTAAAATACATACATATTAGTTAATAATATACAATAAATTCATCTAATTAAATATAAATAGCATGGTCTTGAGAATAGCAGCAGTCCTCAGTTTACTGGCAACAATGTCAAAATATAATAAAGTATAAAACATACCTTACCTACTGCAGTAGTGAAATTGATAAGGAGGACAGAAAATTGGTCATTGGAAATTGTAAGGGGTTTACAAAAATATGAACATAAGTCAATATTCCAGACAACTCAAAACTTCATTCACATTCATTTGGTAATAAACTTTACAACATAAGAGATATTTCACACTCTCCTGGGAGAAGAAAGCTCTTAATTTCTTTTTTTTTTGAAACCTCTTGATTTCATAATTTAAGACCTACTGAGTAAATGGAAATCCTTTGCTACACTAGTTTTAAGTGAATACAGTGGAAATCCCACAGAGCATTCATGGTTGTCAGCATAGATGAAACCAAAAATCACTGCAGATTCTCAATGTATAAGATTGGAAACAGGACTGTAGTTACTAACTTACTATACATCAGGTTATTTTATGTAGTGAAGGGTATTATTAAACCTTAAAAAAAGAATTTTACGACAAAACTGCTACTTTATACTTTCCAGGTTAAAAGAAATAGTCCGGACTACATAAATTAACACCGATAGTGTAAATTGACATCTTCAGCTTACACGAACTCTGAGAGCACAATGGAAAATCCCACAGCAGATAATGTCTATCAACATGAATGAAAGTCAAGATCCCTGCCTACTTCTCAATGCCTCAGATTGCGTACTTTGACAATACATCAAGTCTTTTTATGTTGCTTTAAGCTTACACCAAGCTAACTATGTATATTAACCAAGTGGAGCACTAGAAGAATAAAGTAACACAAGCAAATTTAAACATGCATATGGATCACTCCCTGTGTTCTTAGATGTCTGCTTATGTAATACAACCATCCTAAAAGCAGGCCAAAAAAAAAACCTCGTTGACCAAGATAGTATCCAAAAACCCTCTATTAGACCACACAGCATAATATACTTAATAGTAACATGGTGAACAGTTAAAATATCATGAAAATTTAATCAACTGGAAAGCTGCAGAATATGATTATATAACACAATTTATAAACAGTCATTATTCCAAAAGTGCTGAACCCTGACCCTGAACTATCAGTTTCAGTGGTTTAGGTCAACCCAACAGGAGGGTATTTTCTTCTACATTACTCTTATGTACTTAATAATTATTACAAGCTGAGTTTTGGCTTTGGATTTTTAACTTTTTCCATAACTAATGCTTTTAGTGACATGAATAACCAATGCTAATAGTAAACTTATGAGTCTTGAAATTAACAAATATAATGCCTTTATAGATCATTTAACATGTAAGATACAATAATTGATTGTTATAAAGCTCCTATAAAAAACAATAAGAATTTAGGCACTATTACAGCACCCCAACAAATAAACAAAAAACCTGACAGTGTACAAATTTAGGTAAAGATAGGTAAAGATAAGATGCATGTGTGCATCAGCTACTCAAAATACATTAAAACTAAATGTGGTACCTTGTCGGGGATGATCATTTGCCTAGATTCAATTGCCTCAATCATGTAGCGACAAACATAATATCCACTATCACTAGAGCCATTAGCTTGACGAGGACACTAATACAAACCAAAAAAAGGGGGAGGGTTAAATCAAACACCTAGTTATTTATAATGAATTAACATACATATTATGTACTAAGCATTGCAAAATTAAATTAAAGATACAAATACCTCTATGCTTATCCATTTAATGTAAGGTTTCTTCTTTATTTTTGTGATATCCTTTCGATGTTCCGCGCTAAAATTGATCATTGCCCTAAGTAATTATCAAAATATTAGATTAATAGTATTGAAATACTTTCATAAAAAGAAGTTAACATGTAACAAAATAAGCAATCTAGCACATACTTGTTGATTATTGTTTGAGCAAATTTGGGAGGTTCATCTTTTACTCCTGCGGGATCTAGCCAATGCACCAAACCAACCCATCAATATTAATACCAATAAATGCTATCAATAATCAAAAAAATGAAACAAAAATTAACAAAAACGAGGAAATGCTGACACACTCAAGTTGTAATCTGCTGGTATGCTCCGGGAACTTCCTTGCGACCAAAGTACATATCTTTGGAAAATTAGGAATCACACCAGCTTTCCAAAAAGACTCCGAAAACAAATGGTTGACCATATCCGGATGATCTAAAATTTGATTGAGTCTATACATTTTCGCCAAGAGACCCTCCCCAACCTCAGTGAGTTCTACGACATATTGTATATTCAAAACCTTTGCAGACCCTCCAGCATTTTGAGCAGACTGAGACTAACCCTCCGGTCCCATACTCTTAAAGCTCCTCAACGTTGGAGAAGCCATTATAGAGCTCGAAAGCTAGGACACTTTCTGGTCAGGTCTCAGATTTTATAGTAAGATCAAATCAACTGCAAGAAGTCAGAACAATTGCAAATTTTAAGTACAAGATTATCATCATTAAACTCGACTTGTCACCTCCAAAAACAAAGTACCATCCTGATACAGAATAATTTAGGCACTACAACAAATTCAAGAATTATTATTGTCACAATATGAGTAGCAAATTCAAGCACAATATGTTCGAAATGTGATAACACTGATACCGGAAATATAACATACCCCGAAATTAACGAATTAAACGCAATGCTCTGTAATTTTCACTATCGCAATGCATGAAATCGTGAATCAAACACTAAGAAGCAATTCGAGGCAAGTTCACAATTTCAAAATTTACACAAATGAGTTCAGTTTCTGAAAAATTAAAGCAAAATCCAACAAATATAAAGTATTTTCGCAAATAACTGAACCACAAAACCTCATATTACAGCAACAATTTCATCAAAAATATCCAAAACTACTGTATAGTTTGAATGAATTCAACATTACTAGCAAGCAATTTCAAAATTGATTCATCATCCAAATTAGCTGAAATTAGCAACAAAAAAAACAACGAAAAATAGAATTGAAATTACTAGGAATGGTTAAATTACATACATTTGACAATTTTGTTGTGAGAAATTCGATGGTAGAATAGCTGGGAAGATGATGAACATCGAAAAGCAAGTGCGAAGTTCGTTGAATTAGTTGAGTAAGCTTCAGGATTTTGATTAGGGTTCTAAATTGAACTTAAGTAAGATTAATTTGGCTGAAATAATTTTGATTACAATTGAAATAAAAGTAAATTCGACAAAATTAAGGGTAATTTGATTGAACTTACTGCAATAATTCGGCATTTATCCCTAAAACTAGAACTGTGAATTTTTTTTCAATAACTAAAATTCGAATTGCAAATTACTTTAATAGATGAAAACTACGAATTCACTCCTATTTCCTTCATAATTTGAATGATGCATACAATTACATTGACAATTATTAGAATCCAAATACTCTTTGAGAAGAAAAATTCGAACCAAAAAAAAAAAAAAAAACAATCGAGCCTACCTCAATTTACTGGTGCAGTGCTGCAGACGTGGAGCGGCGGTTGAGCGGCTCTGTAAGCGGCTGATGAAGGTTTTGATATGGAGGTTTAATGGAGGTTTCAACTTTTTTTTTTTTTTTTTTTTTTGTTTTTTGCTGATGAATGAGTCGAGAAAGAGGTTTCACATATTTTTTTGAATTAGTATTCTAGTGAAATTGAAAGAGAAGCGCACTTCACTTTTCCCATTTAGCTGCCTTAGATAATTTGGGTAAATTATTACTCCGTCTGTATACAATTTCATCCTATTTTTTTTTTAAAAAATTAATAGAATATAAAACGGTTGTCAAGATACCGTTCTATATCATCTATAATAAATAATTATTTTTTTTTAACTATTTGAGTAAAAAGAAATAGAGAACGGTTAACTATCCTAACCGTTCCATATGTATTAACATACAGAACGTCTCTTATATAAAGACGATCTATATTCTTCCGGAGAACGCCTACCTTTGATAACCGTTCTATATTTTGCGATCTCTAATCTAGTTTTTGGTGTAGTGCTTGCAACTTGTTTCCGAGGTTTATTTCATATCTATAGAATATTGTGAGCGAGGTTGATAAAAATAAGAAAATCTTCATGTTAAAAGTTTCTCTTTATTCAAACTGAATGTGTGTGTTATGTCCCTAATTTATTCGTATATTGTTGAACTAGTTACAAATCATTAAGTCTACTTGTATATTTTAATTTTTTTTAGAATTTACTTAGTGTCTACTTGTATATTTTAATCCTAATTAAGACACAAGAGATGGACATGACACTCAAATAGAAAAACATTAGTGCATGTCATTTACTTCTTTAATGCCTTTACCTACTCTTAGATTTTTCTAGCTAATTCAAATTAAAACTTCTTGATACTATATCATCTTCCCTTATAAAGTCACAAAACCCCTCCTCACAAGATAAAAAGACACAAAAAACTTTATTAGAGAAAGCACCTCATGGTGAATCCCTTGCCGGGAAACCTACACTTGGTGATGAGAAAAGAATTGGAAAATTTGTTATTATTAATCCCAACTTTGGGCCATTTACTTTCATTAATCCCAACTATCGATTATTTTTGAATAATCCCAAGTTCGGTGGGTATTTTCTTTTATAAGGTCAAATGATCGGTGACCTATTTAAAAGACAATGTTTTTTTAAAAAAATTTCTTACATGCCACATGTCGCAATTTCATTAGTTAATTTTTTTAAAAAAAAAATTAAAAAACCAAACCCATCCACCTTCATCCCACCACAACCCTACCACCTCCTTCCCTAGCACCACCAAAAACCACCATCTCTCTTCCCCAACCCCACTGAAAACCACCGCAACCTCACTCCCTTCCCCCAAAACCACTAGCAGCCCACCCCCCGTCGCCGAAAACAACCCCCAAGCCACCATTTTCACCCCTTGTCGCCGAAAACGACCCCCAAGCACTGCAACTCCACTTCCCCTTCCTCACTCATGAAAAAACCGATCTCCCTCCCCCACTCACCAAAACCACCAATCTCCCTCCCCCACTCACCAAAACCATCGAAAACCCTAATAGTACTCCAACACCACATCCCTTTAGGTTTGAGGCTCCATCGAATAATATCACTATATTCGATATTATGTATCACTTTTTGCGAACTAATATAGCAGCTTATTATTATTATTGTTATTGTTGTTATTGTTGTTATTATTATTATTATTATTATTATTATTGTAATTATTATTATTATTATTATTATTATTATTATTATTATTATTGTAATAATAATAATAATTATTATTATTATTATTATTATTATTATTATTATTATTCACTAGTACTAGAAAAAGTTTAATCTGCACTAGTTCAAAACCGACTTAGGGCACCGGTTCAAGGGCCAAACAGATTCCTTAGCTTTTATGCTTAAAAAAATGTAAAATTGATAAACAAAACATTATATATATATATATATATATATATATATATATATATATATATATATATATATATATATAAACTTAGATATTTTTATTAATAAATTCTTGTAATATTAGAATTTCATCAAAATTAAATAAAAAAAATTACAATGCAGAACAGCAACAGCTCAAAAACAGAACATTAGCAGCTTGAAAAACAGAACAGTAGCAGCACATACATAAGCAGAATAGCAGCATCACATAAGCAGAACTGCAGAAGCAGTAGTAGAACATTAGCAGCACATATGCAGTACAGCAACAACATATATGCAGAACAACAGTAGCACAAAAGCGGAACAACAGCGCACAAAGACGGAACAGCAGCAACATGCAACAGCAGCAGCAGCGGCAGTAGCATCAAGCAAGCATCAAAATCTTAGGACATATACTTGCTATGAGGAAGTCGGGCTATAAGGAGACATCTTAATATTACAGCTTATAAGTTGGAAGAATAGACAATAATATTACAGTTTATAACAACCCTTTCCTCTAATCATTCTGAAATTTGCCTCACCTTCCAATGTTACTTTGGGTTCAATTATAGCAAATCAGTCATATAAACTAACTTTGTTACCGGCCTTGCAATGAAAGTGTGGAACGTAACCCAGCTCTTTGCTCGAGCACATCATGTACTAAATAGAAGAAAAAGAAAGCCTTCATTGCACCTGTAGCAGCCTATGTCTCTCTCTTTGTCTTACTTACAGCTGGCCATGGTTCTTTTTCATTTTTGGTCTACACAAGAAGAAAGAAGCAAAGTATGAAACTTTATATATTCTAATGTTGATCTTTCTTTCATTATTTAGTTAGCCACAACATTGTGCCTAAGAAGATAATAGCTGAATCATTACATGCAAAATCATCAATAATAGAAGCTAAGAAACCTTTAGCTATAATCAACATACATGAGTCTAGTAGTTAGTCAAGGGAAGGGTGGAATAGCACAATTTACTTATTCAGAGGTAAACAAACCTGACAAAAGGGTTCTTGAGAGAACTAGGAATAGGTGGATTTGCAGGAAATTACTATGGTTCGTTGCTTGAAAGATGGGGTGGATCTTTCTATAAAGATGCTCTCTCCTTCAATTAATGCTTCCGAACAATATAATAATGAGGTTAATTATGATCAAACTGCACTGCTAAAGCTATTTTTGTCTTGAAACATATAAATTGACGATGAATTTTTCAATTTGAGTGACAAGTTGAGCAGTACCAGGCTATATCATCATCACAATCTATAACAGAACCAGTTTTTAGCTATTGTCTCTGCCAAATTCTTCTGGGACTCAGAGTCATACTTGCTTGCCTGTTCGAGATGTTCATAACAGGTCTTATATGGTCGTATTCAGTATATTTTATTCAAGTGTATCACTAATGGGGTGCTTAGAGGACCAATAATTTAACATGTCGATCAGCTACAAATTTACTTTGCAAATGTGTTCCATGATGTAAAAATGAACAAAAGCATAAACTGCACCTTATCAGAGTAACTACAAACAAAACACAGTTCCCATCATACATGATCAATTCTTTTTTTACATGCTGGTTTCAATATAAGTAGAAAAAGGAAAAATGATAGTAGACAGAGACGGGAACAAAGAAGCAGCACCTGAGACATGACTGTAGATTCAAGTACCTGAGCACATAAAGAGCACCTGATTGCACATAAAACAAAGTCTAGATTAATTGCTTACGACGCTTAGTAGAAAGAGTATTCCTATAAAAAAAAAATTCTAGTTTGAAGTTTTGAACCGCTTGCCATCTACTTTTTTCTACTAGTGAAACCTGCCTGCAAAACATCATATTCCTATAAAAAAAAAAAAGTGGTAAAAAAACAACCAGCTTAAACTGACAATATATATTCTCACATATTCCATATAACAAAGATACACGCTAGGTAATACTCACAGCCTATCTAATCTGCCATGGCATAGAGAGTCGAGAGTGAAAGTCACAAGTTCTCTATATCAATCTTATACGTGTTGGATTTATAAATATTAGCAATTGGCAAAGCACAACCAAAATTTCTTCCCAAATGGAACTCATTAGTAACCCTCACAAAATAAAAGTCCACGTGTAAGCATTATTTATGTCAGCACATGTATGGCATAACAATTGTCAAATTAGAATGCTAGCATTTAACTTATTTTTCATTAATAAAATTAGAATGCTAGCATTTAACTTACTTTCCTTAATACAATGACCATAATCCCAATCTCATCAGACAATTACTTGTTCACAAACTTTGCACAAGGATAGTACGAAGTAACATTCATTTCACATCTCAGGAAAAATTCTTTTTGCTCCCTTGATCAATCCCATTTTGTCAAATACTCATATCACGAGTAACAAATACCCTCGATAACAATCATCTTCATGTGTTGATTAGTAATGATTAATAAATTATCTAATGTAAATGTTTTTGTAGTTAACTTTAATGCAAAACAGTGAACTAAAACAACTAAGCTACCAATTTTTAAATTTTTTTTCCATTTTACTATAGTATAATAAGAGGTTGATTGATCAAAACCATGATAAAAAAAAAGGGAGCGCTGAGCATAAATACATATACATTAGACTTATTATTAATCTTTACTAATCAACACATGAAGTATAAATTAGAAAATATGTCTCAGCAGATTAATTGAAAAACAATTAAATAGCCCATAAAAAAAATAACACAAAACAAAATACCTCTTATTGATTTTATGAATCACTAAGCAACACTTAGTTACACAGTAGCACCACCAGTCCAACCTCACCCCTTCTCTACGTCCCCAATCAAGGTAACATTTTCATAGTAGTGTATTCCAAAGATTACATGAATTTCCAAACAGCTTATTAAAAATACTTTGTATAATAATAATCTGATCAAGAGCATAATGTGACCAAGAAATAAACATCATTCCTCCACTTATAATTAGCATTGCCTTAGATTTCTGCATTTCTTTTGCCCACAATTACTTGGGTTCTCGACAAGCTTATGATGATTCATTCAGAAAAGAAAATAATTAAATTAAAATTGGTCAGAGTAGTCAACAAACATCAAATTACAAGGTAAATCAAAATCTGCTGTAATCAAAATTTTTGGAAGAAAAAACAAAAATCCCAAACTCATCTAGATACTTCAACCAATTTATATAAATCTGTAGTAATCAAAATTTTCAAAAATTAGAAAAAACCAAAATTCCCAAACTCATCTAAATACTTCAACCAATTTAGATCCATGCCAAATTCAGTATGAAAATAATGAAATTAAACCTGTTAATAGGCAAATTCAACATCAGATTAACAAATCATCAATAAGATTAGAGAGAGGGAATTGAAACCCTAACTTAAGCTAGCTCTAATTCTTGTTAAAAATGGAAGGGAGAGGGAAATAAACTAACCCTAACTACCCTAACTTTAGGTGGAAGCCGCCGAGGATGAAGGCCAGTAGGTGGCAATTGCCATCTCTTCAACTTGGAGCACGAGCTGTTGTGTATGTCTTCGAGTTGGAGCACAGGTTGCAATGGAGGGAGTCTATGGTGGACGTGGGCTATAGTGGAGCACCGAGAGCGAGAAGGTGGTGGCGGTGGAAGCCGAGGAAAGGAGGTGCAGCGTAAACAGACAGGTGAAAGCTTGAGGGATGGAGAAATACAAGGGAGAAAAAAGTTGTGACTTGTGAGGCTATGAGGGTCGATTTTGATACAGTAAAAATAATTGACAAGGAAAAAAAGAATACGGAGTATCAAATTAAGTGTTTTTCTTCCAAAAAAATAAAATAAAATTAAGTGTTACAATCAAGTGATACCTAATATTAAAGTGTTACAATAAAGTGTTATCTAATATTAAAGTGTTACAAAAAATGTTACCCAATACCACAATGTTACAAAAGTGTTACTTAAAAATTAAATAATCATGAAAATTTTAAAGTGTTACCAATGGTTGTTACTTAAGCTCAATTTTGTATTAGTGTCATAATAATAATAATAATAATTAAAATAATCATGAAAATAATCATGTTAAAAAAAAGCATAATATTAATAGCAAGATCTTAGGCATGATACTAACAAGATTAATAACAAACTCTAGCATGTCACTAAACAATAAAGATCAAAGCTTTAACCCTAACATGATACTATCATGAATATTAGGAAGAAAATAGGAAGCATCGCAGGAATCATAATTGTCATATTTGATAATAGAAATTATAGTTATTACCCTAAACATGATACTAGGAAGATCAAAACGCCCTAACATGACATTAGGAATCATAATAATAACCTAGATATTATTTCTATATCATAATAACAATGAAAACAATTAAAGCACTTATTTGGATGCCTCGTATCTCTTTCTAATAACAAAATACACGCGTTAGTAACTTCAAGGAAAATAATAATTTAAACAATTAAATTAAATAATTGAAAGAGAGGTTTGGGACCAAACCCTCAGAAATTAAAACCTTTCACGTCTAGGGCGAAGGCAACTTCGAAATTGGCTAGGTGTTTCTTGGTCTTGTGAATGCGGAATTTTGTAGAGAAAGATAGAGAGAGAAGAGAAATTCTTAAAAGCTAGAGAGAATAAGAGAGTTGATGATATTTGATGAGAATTGATGAAAATTGATGATTGGAAACGGAGGTTTTAGGAGGCTATTTATAGAGAAAATCAGTCAAACGGATAGAAAAACAAATCAGAGTTTTGACGAGAATAAATCAGGTTAGCGCCAAATGCTGAACATTAGCGCCAGGCGCTAAGACTAGCGCCAAGCATTAGCGCCAGGTGCTAATCCCTGTCGTCAGGCACTAATCATTAATTTCACGCGTTTTCTTAATTTTGGTAAAATTTAGCCGTACAGAAGGGAAAAATCGTATTTTCCTTAAAAACACTCTTTTATTCTGATTAAAACTCCAAAAAGTCAACCAAAGTCAATTTATCAATGCTAATTGAATTAGGACTGAAAAGAACCTTCTAGAAGAATCTAGAATACTAAAATCAATTCTAATTGCATTAGGAATGATAATAAATATTAGGCCATCCTCTAGATCATTGGGCTGCACATAAACATCAAACCGGGCCCAGTTCAGTATTTTGGCCATAACTTCCTCTCATCGGAATTGGGCTTATTATATATCGTTGGAAAGCTCTTTTCAAGCCCCATCCAACTACATCATTATTGGACCCTTGCTATGGATAAAACCAAACTTGATTGGCTGTTTTCTGAAAATAGGTTTTCAAAAACAGAGAGAAAGAAAAAAAATTAAAAAAAAATTATCCGCAACATTAGACCTTCCACACTTTCACTTCATTTGATTATGATTCGACGCGAAAGGTACTCATCACCGGGTTTGGTTTGGGGGAGACACAAATGGGTGTCTACAAATATGACTTTGAAAACGGAGGTTCTTCCATGTTCTTAAGGTAGATGTCTTCATCATCGCTGTCCTAAACCCCATTAATGCTTATATCTTGTTCTTGTGGGATTTGAACTAACTTCTTATCATCAATCATCTTCTAAATTAAATCTTTGAATTTAACACAATTTTCAATGGTATGTCCCCCTGATTGATGGTATGGACAGTAGAACCTATCTGTCCTCTTTAGTGATTCAAATGGTTTCGGTTCGAGTGGTTTGACCTTACCATTCTAGGAGAGCATTTTGAAATTTTTTTCATTGGAAGTCCCAATTAGAGTATAGAGTTTATTACTCTTCTTGGGTGTGTCAATTACTTGAAGAGGGAATGATTTCTTCTTCATAGGTGGAACTTTAGCACACTTGCTTTGAAGCTCCTTCCCTTGTTTCTTCGCTAATTCTATAGCTTCACGTAACAAGTCTATTTTATCCCACATTGACCATATAAGAATCCGTACTTCTTCATTGGTTGCAAGTTCTTGTTCAGAAGGAAAATTATCCATGGCATCGAAAAAGGTTTCCACCTCTTCTTCGATAGCATGAATTTCTTCAATAGGTTTGATGAGAGATGAGGGATAAACATGGTTTTCCTCATCACATATAGCCAAGGAATCGGAGAGAGGTAGATCGTTAATACTTGGCTTCTTACTTGCAGGGGGCAATGGTAGTTTATTGTTATCAATCAAATCTTGCATAGCTTCCTTAAGCTTCCAACAATTCTCAGTGAGATGACCCCTACCTTGGTGATAATTAGAGTGTGCATTTGGGTTCCAGTTAGCTGTCCTCTTTTCAACTGGTGGGTCCCCAAATGGTCCAATAGGAGTTATAAGACCTTTTACATTCAGTCGATCGAATGCGGTGTCATAACTCATACCAATAGGAGTAAAGTTCCTCCTAAATGGTTTCTTTTGTCCTTGGTTGCTCATAGCAAGGACTTCACTCAAATTAAAGGTGCTAACATTATTTGAGTGGGTGGTTTTGGAAGAAGAAGGATTATCGTTCTTCTTGCCTTTCCAGCCACTGTTGGAATTATTGTTAGCAGCTTTTTGTTTAGCAAGGTCGTCTTCAATGTTAATCCCAATATCATAGACAGCCTTGAAAGTGTGTAGATTGTTTTGATATTTAAGTTGTTTGGAGTACTTTTCTTGGAGGTTCTTGACAAACAACCTCACAGATTCTTTTTCACTCGGTACTTCAATCATCCTAGCAGAGGTTTCTCTTCATTTATTGAAGAAAGAAGTGAAACCTTCATTCTCTTTTTCCTTAAGTATTTTAAGTTCCCTATGATCAGTTCAAACTTGAATATTTTATTTATACCTATCAATGAAAGCGTTTATAATTGATTCCCAAGTAGAGGTTTTCTCTTTGTCAAGGGAAAAGAACCATTGTTGGTAAACAGTCTCAAGAGATAAGGAAAATAAAGAATGAAATACTTTTCTATCAAAAGCTCTTAAATTTTGGGATGTCGTTGGCATTGAACTTCTGCAGAAGAAGCTCCTTGTCCACCGAGACCCCTTGTGAGCTAATGTCCTGGAACCTGTAATCATTAGATATCTTACTCAATCTTTCTTGCATGAGCTCCATTTGTTGTTGTTTCACAGGGTCATTAATTTGGAGGGTTAAGGTCTTTAGCAGTTCAGTAACATCAGCCATTTGCTTCTTGAGCTCATTAACTTCTTCTTGACTTGTCATTATCTTCTTGGCTTTCCTTTTCTGACCGATTGGTTTGTCAAAAAGTTGTACTTGAATGAAAAGGTTGTCTCTGATCAAACGCCCTTCTTTTCTTGACCACGCTCTGTAAATTAAACCATTTTTTTATTATAATGACTTGACTCAAATTGACTTTCACTTTATGGGTTTATAAAGAAAAGGAAAAAATAAAAAATAGGGTGTATATTTTTTGGAATCAAGGTGTATATTTTATGGAATCAAGTATAGGGGTTCAAACAAGTGGTTTAATTGGAGGAATAATATCCGACTTACCCCCATAAAAAAATGACGGAAAACACGCGCATACAAGACTCTCTAGACATGGTCAAAGTGTATATACATATTAGTGTGTTCTTTATTTGTGAGTGCAAGTGACATGCTTTGACTCTTGTGTAAGACCATGGGACTAAGTGCCTAGACTCAATTAAGGACTAAACAAGGGTACTGTTATTAACAAAATGATCGAACTGTTTAGCAAACTGTTGAATTAGACTCGTCGTGATGACTCGAGCAAAATCCTGAACTGTCGCCAAAGCAACAGGATTGTCGCCGCATACTATAGTGCAACGCCAGATAACAGCGTTGTCGCTCGGCTTTGCAGCCCAAATTTTTGCGCCATTATTGGAGCATTAATTTGGGACTTCCTTCAGTATTTTTTCTCTACGGGACAGGCCTAAAGTCGTACTAAGTCAATTCTGATTAAATTATTAGACGTTAATTACACAAGTTAATTAATTAATTAGGAAAAGTCCTTTTAGCCATTAATTAGTTTATTTAAGGCTTAAATAAAAGTCAAACTAACGGTTAGGAAAAACACATAGAGTATGCAAAACAAATAATGCACAAATAGTCAAGTAGGCACAATATGATGCAATAAGTTCGCAACCTAACCATGGCTCTAGTTCTCTAAAGTTCAGGATATGGGTTAGTCAAATAGGGTCAATGGTTAATTGTTCGGATGCACCGTGCGAAAGCCTTACCTTTGGAAGGGTTGGCGCGAGTCGATAGGACCCCGCGAGTTAAACTCGCTTAGCTTCCATGTTTTGGTGAATTTTACATTCTTATATGTACCCTTTGTTGCTCAGAGCGTTCAATCAGATAGATGGAGGATGAATTCCCATAGGGTTATGTCCATACGTAGAACACATACGGGCTTTAGAAAAGTAAGAAAAACTCAATAAGGAAGTAGAATTGAGCTAACAGTGCTAGAACTGGTCGAAATTAGAACTCATATTTCTGGCTCGGTATTGGAAGAACGCAGCGCCAGCCAACAGAGACTGTCGCCGCGACATAGTCATGTCGCCTGGCGACATAATTGTCGCTCAGCGACAGATCCATATCCTCGGCGACAGGCTCTGTTTGCTAGACGCCAGTTCCTACATGCCTCAGCAGCTTTATGTGTTCATATATTTTTCCAGTTTTTTGTAGTATTATTTCGGTTCTAGTTGTGAAAGATATTCGTCAAATTTCCTATGTGTAAAAATCCTATGTTTTTTACTCATTACGGATGGTCTTTCCAATGAGATCCTTTTTTTTATGCATATGACAATAATGTTAATCAAAATTACGCACATGAAATACTTATAACTTTTCAAGTCTCATCCACTCATTCTAAATCATTGCCGAAATAAATTTCAGGAATTAAAATAGAAATCCTCCCCAACAGAGTCGCCAAAAACTGTAGGCCAAAAGTGCATCCAAGACCAATGTTAAACATAGGCCAAAAGTGCATCAAAATCCACCAG